AAACGAAAATGACGTTTTGGAACATGAGAAAAAATATTCTATATGGATTTGAAATTTTTAATAATTAAGAATTGAGAATTTGTTATAAATTATTTTAAAAAACATAGCTTTTGGAGACTCTATTCTGTCGCTTGGATGTTCTCGCAGTATTCCGACGCTTTTTCCACTGCACAAATGAAAAAATAATGTAAAAAGTTCTTATTCTACTAGGGTTGATAGACTCAACTCTCGAAATCTCTGGAATGATATTCTTATTTATTTAATACAAAATTATGAAATTACAAAACTACTTCATATAACTTTGTTCGATAATTTTCTCCCTCTCTCCAATAAATATATTATTGCTCTAATGGAATTGAATATCTATGAATATTCATAAAATGAATAAAAATTGAATTCTCTAAATTTGGCTTGACAAATCTTCATGATAAATTTTAAAAACACCGCACCCTCAGATCTGCATATAATTCTCAAAATCATTGATTGAAGATCATGGATGAGCAATAATCCCTCGTGTATTTCAGCAATTGCTTGAATTTAAAAAAAATTAATGTGAAACAAGTGGGAAATTGCTCTTGTCTTCATATTTTTGTTATTTTTGGTAATGAATTAGCAATACGCTTCTGAATGGTCCCTTTGCACATCATTTTCTCCTACGGCATATAATTCATTGTTTATTTTATGTTATTAAATTGAATGAGATTCATTTTTAAACAATTGAGTCAGATCTTCAACTTAGCTGAGTGCTATCATCATCATTATTCTTATTATCCCTTTCTTTCGGACAACTGATTGTCTTTTTTACGGTCCTATCACTCCCCTCACCCATTTGTTGCTTCACGGGCTGACATTCTCGTCCTAACTACGTGGCATTTACTTCAGGAGCTGTATTTCCTGTTCACGTTTCGGTGTTTACATTTTCGTTCAACGGTTTCCTAGTCATTGAAATTGGCTTTTTTATCGGCTCTGCATTCCACAGGTTTGTCGTCTACATAAGCCACGTTTAGGCCGTTGTTGTCGATTATTATTAATATATGATGGCAAATTCGAAATTTGCAACAATCATCGCAAAAATAAAATCAACAGATATCGCTATCATAATTATCGTTCAACTTCGACAGTGTGGCATTGAAACTAACATTTTAAGCTATAATTGAATTCATTTGAAGCATGATATCTCAAGCTATCCCCGGAATTCCGATTTTCAAAAAATACAAAAATTTTGCAAATTTTTATATAAATCAAAACAACGATTATTGCTGTCACCTCCATCTTCGCACTCGGTCAAAAGCGCCTCCAAACAAATTTTTTAAACCATCATTCAATGAATTTAGAAAAAAATTTTAGTTATCGTGGGACAACCGATTTTTGAAAAAATTGAAAAATTATTAAATAAATTAAATTTTAATTAATGTCGATGGATAGGGCTCAACAATACCTATATTTGAAGGAAATAAATGATTGAAATAAATAAATAAATAAATGAAAAAATCTGCAACTGAAGTTTGAACGATCACAAAACTTCCATGCAGAAACAAAAATGCAATTATCTCAACAGCTGAGTCTCACAGAAATGTCTCGAGTTCAGGCGAAAATTAAAAAATTATAACGTTAAATTTTAAAAACTGGGGCCATTTCTTTTCTATCTCTTCCTTTATCCCGTAAAAAATCTAAGAAAATACTTTTATAATCTTTCCTCGTTCAACGATGATGAATTTATTAGCTAGTGGAATTCTCGCCTTGGGGCTAGGTCTTCTTCGGACAGTTGTGGAGCACGTGCTCATGCTTCGTTTCAGTACCATCGAGGTTCTGCTTGATCTCGATATAGTTGAAGACCTTTTCCTTGCAGTAGACGCAGGGAGAGTTGGATTTGTGGGTGGGACCGAAGTGCTTTGCAATTTCGGTGGAGGTCCCGATAATCTTGCAATTGCAGATCTCGCATAACACAAATGGTGGCTTCATTCGTCCGTGAACAGAATCTGTGACGATTCTCTCGTGATTTTTGGGTGGCCTTAGTACGGGGGAAGGGGTAGAGCCTCTGTTTGATGTCATTTTTGGACTGAAAAACCATTATAAAAATCCAAATTGAGGTCTAGTGATAAAAATTTGGTACTCGAAAATAAAGGTCACCAGGGTCATGAGGGTCAGAATAAAGATCACGAGGGTCAGAAGAAGGGTGATGAGGGCCAGATTAAGGGTCAGATTGAGGGTCACAAGGGTCAGATTGAGTCTAAATAAGGGCCACAAGGATTAGATTAAGTGTTACGTGAGTCAGATTAAGGGCCACAAGGGTCATATTAAGGATTATGTGGGTCAGATTAAGGGTCATGTGGGTCAGAATAAGGGCCACCAGGGTCAGATGAAGGGTTATGTGGGTCAGATGAGGGGCAAAAAGAGAGTCATGAGGGGCAGAATAAGGGTCACGAGGGTCAGAAAAACGGTCATCAAGGCCACATTAAGGGTCAGATTGAAGACCCAAGTGAGGGTCTTTTTAACAGAAGTACATGTGTAAATAGGGGAGGGTGGGGTAAAATGGATACTTTAGACTCAAAAATATTGACCCACGATTTTTATCCTTTCGAAGCCGAATGAACCCTTCGTCATCCCCTCAAAATAAAAAACAATTGATTTTACCGCTTGAAACCCTAGAAAGCCCAATTACAACAGGAGAACTGTCACACCAACTCACACTATTCCTTCTTGCCGCTATTTTCCACCAAACCTAACCTAATTTCTCTCCATTAGGGTTGGTTTTCACTCGCAGCGGACAGGCGAAAGGCGCCAAAATTTGAAAATAGGATAATTCATCAATGTAAGTTCAGTAATTGGATCCAAATTCAATGAGAAGTTGCAGACTAGGCTCATTAATATTTGTTATGATCACTTCGCACAGATTTATCCTATTTTACTAAAGATCAAAGCAACGGGAAGTTGTTTTGTATCGAAATATCTCGAAACTGCCTGACCGCTAATCCTTAATTCTGATTGGTCAATATGTGACACGAAGTTATTCACAAAAAAAACACGCGGCATTTTCAAATTCTTCAGTGACATAATTTCAAATTCTTCAGTGGTAACCGATTATTTAAAAAAATTGATATATAATATATATATATTTCAAATGTATATATATCATCGGTGAAATTAATAAATTCTGTCCTTTTATGGAGACCGATTATTTAAAAAAATTGAAGATAATTAATTGAAAATGAAAAATTCTTTATAGATTCTTTTACTCTACTTCGCTATTCACTTCAATCATTGGTCGAATTTTTTTTGATTCACTATCAATATTTATAAGGTATTCATGAGAAAATGAAATTTAATGAATTCCATTCCTTCATCTCAACAAATGAATAGATCAGAATGTATAAATGCATAGATCTTGTTTCTATTATGTCGCAACATTTGCCTGACTGTACTGCGGTTCGAAATGACGCGCCAATCCGAGAAAAGAATACACTTCGTGACGTCATATCCGTTGAACCCCACCACTAGATTTTCTATGGGATGCTCCTTCCTGATATTCTTTATTCAATGAAACATTAATTAATTAATTATGAATGAATTTTTGGTCAATACTATACGAATGAAAAATAAAACAATGGGAGATGAAAGGATAAAATCCTTCGTTCAAACAGAATATTGTTACGAAATCGAATGGTTTAATCTATCCTCTTCTCCTCTTTTGTAAAATAAAAATGTCCTTTTTAATTTGTACAACATAATGAACAGTTAATAAACCCCAGTCAATCCCAATGACCCCCAAAAGAAGCCCAAGTCTGAAAAAAATTTCTTCTCAAAATCATTTATTACCTTCGACCTCCTTCGTAAATAAAAAATTACAGGTCAGAAATAATAAATCAATCCACCACTCAATTACCAGCCGAAGAGCATAAAACAATCGTAAGAAAAAAAGAATGAAAAATTTATGTGTTTTTTACATCGAGAGCCAAAATCCACTGCTATCTATATCGGTTTAATCTTGAAATGCAGTCCAATAAGCGAGAAGACAAGACACTTGAGGTCCTGCACGAGGTAGTAGAAGCACCGGAGCCCCTCCGGATCCCTGGACTGGTTGACATCCAGCAGGGAACCCGTCTTGGAAGTGGTGAAGGAGATGTGCTCATCCCCGATGACGATCTCCAGCTCCTGCCTGCCAACCCTGTCTGGCTGTGGCCACAGGGCGTCGTCCTCCTGCATTATCTCCGAGTCCTGGATGATCCTCTTCAACTCCTCCATCACACACTGGTGGACATACGCCTCCTTCCTGATCATCGTGTCGTTCTTGTAATTGGAGTTGTTGGCATACCGAAGCTTGCCGTCTGGACGAAACTCAAATTCAAGGAACTCGTGGCCAAATTTACCCTTGTGACCGACGTAGTATCTGATGTAGAAGTCCGTGGACATTTTTCAAGAATGCCTGACACTCTCCGGGGATAAAACAATTTTTTCGACGAATTTTTGACGAAGTGGTGGGTACGTTAGGTTAACTTTTGTTGATGTGACCGAATTTGACGCCTTTTGTAGGGAAAGTATGAGGGGGGTGACGACCGAGGTGGCGACGTCTTCCGTGAGACGACGGAATAAATTCCGAGCTTGGAGAAATGGCGGTAAGTTTGGATTTCTAGATAATTTTTTTTTATCATTGCAAAAATCAATAATAATATTATTACGAATAATAATAATAATATATTATGATATAATTACTATATTATATAATAATAATAATAATAATAATATAATAAGATTTTAATATAATTTATATTTCAAACAAAAATAAAGAAAAAAATTCCTGACTATTCATATTGAGAATAATCCCGGTTCTCCTCCTACCTCATTCAAATCCCATCCAATCATTTCCTATGACGTCACAAAGATGTGGAACGCTATGTAAATTCCTTTCTTTAATGTGTTTTTTTTTATTTACTAGGCGAAGACTCATTTGTCAGGTGCAATGTTCCAATAGTGGATGAGAAGACCGAATTTCAGGGTGTGACATAACGCTCAAAAGAGAAACAATGTTCAATATATCGATCAAAACTAGACCAAATTGCATGCGACACCTCGCATTTCGAAGAACAAATGATGCTCTTTCGAATGATATATCGATATTTCCATGAATGTGAATTGGAGGGATAGAAAAAATCAGCCAAAGTTGAATTTTCAAGAAAAACAGAAAAATGAGTTCTTGCCTAAAACTTTTATAACTTTGCGAAAAAAGGTCGAGATAAGACGATTCACCTCTTAATCTGAAGCTTATTCAATGACCTTTTCGAATAATTCAACAATTCGGCTAGTTTCTACGTCCAAAAATGGTAATTCAATACGAAAGGCTGAAAAACTGGGATTTTTCAATTCGTGACATGCAAATTTCGAGACATAATGACCCATAACAATTGACTAAGTCGATGGAATGTTTGTCTATAAATTTACTAATAAATGAATAATTTAAATTTCTTGAAAGGGGATTTTTCGCTTACACAAGTAATCGTGAATTTACCTAACTCGATTATTGGTTGATAAAATAGTTGAAAATTTGAATATTTGAATTGATGATATTTAAGTACTCAAAAAATTTCAAGAGTGATGTTATCTAATTGATGGCTACATATTTAACCGTAATGAAATATTACAAATTTGGCCATCCCTGGGGAGGAGTCTGAAACGTCTCGCAAATGTCAAGGAACATTTTTCCCACGGGTGTCGAACCCCGTCTTTCATCACAATGTGTGGAAAGTGGAATCTCACTTTGCGCACAAGTGTTGAAAATAAATTTGAAATGCAAAAAAAAAGATTCATAATTGATAATTTTTTATATGAATTCTGAGTTCGATGAGGGCAAGAAATTAATCTGTCAAATTCGTACTTCAGCCTACATCATAAAGCTTCCAGTCGAAAAAAGAACAGAATGATGTGGAACGAACATGAGATAATCAATTGCGATGGATTATTGTAGGTACAAATTTGGCCATCCCTGGGGAGGAGTCTGAAACGTCTCGCAAATGTCAAGGAACATTTTTCCCACGGGTGTCGAACCCCGTTTTTCATCACAATATGTGGAAAGTGGGATCTCACTTTGCGCACAAGTGTTGAAAATAAATTTGAAATGCAAAAAAAAAGATTCATAATTGATAATTTTTTATATGAATTCTGAGTTCGATGAGGGCAAGAAATTAATCTGTCAAATTCGTACTTCAGCCTACATCATAAAGCTTCCAGTCGAAAAAAGAACAGAATGATGTGGAACGAACATGAGATAATCAATTGCGATGGATTATTGTAGGTATTCATACCGAAGACCTATTATAGAGGTTTAACAAACCAATGCTTCATCCGCACAAAGCTCAACGATATGTTTTCAAGTGCTGATGAATCCATCATACCTATAAATTGAACGAAACGCTTTGGAAACTGAAGATGCGAAAACTAAAAAGGGGAAGAAAAAATGTACAACATAAATTCTGTGAGGGATAACAAAAGCCATTCACAAAATGGCAAATATAAAAAAAAAATTTGAAAAGTGGAGATTAATGGACAACACATGACAAAACTGATAAGCTGTTCCGCTCCATGAAAAGCCGGAGCTGCGAAGAGTATATAAAATTCGCCGGTCATCGTAGAAGACACCATTATCTTCGACTTGAGGAATCATAGGACAAGACAGTTGTCAGAAATAGCCATGGAAATTACGGGAATTCAATTCCTGACACTTTGTCTGTCAACCTGTTTTTTTGGTGAGTTGTTAAAAAAAATCATTCGCGGGCCGTTTCATACCGAGAACAAGACTGACGGTGCACGGTCTATGACTTGGTGATAGACTTTTGTAATTGGTGGATGGCAACTGATTTTCATCACTTGTGCGGAAAATCCCGGTGGCCTGGCGTAGTGGTTAAGGCCGTTGCCTCACAACGGATAGGTTCCAGGTTCGATTCCTGGCCGGGTAGAATGGTGAGATCTAACCATTTTTAAAGTCTTGATCAATCGCCATATAGTCTCATCAGACTCGAAGCGATATAAAATAAGCATAAAAAAAAAAAAAAAACTTGTGCGGAAAGTGAAATTTACGGACGCCTCGCGCTTTCCACACATTGCGATGAAAGGGGATTTTTCGATTACACAAGCAATCGTAAATCTACCTAACACGATTATTGGTTGATAAAATAGTTGAAAATTTGAATATTCGAATTGATGATATTTAAGTACTTAAAAAATTTCAAGAGTGATGTTCTCTAATTGATGGCTACATATTTAACCGTAATGAAATATTATAAATTTGGCCATCCCTGAGGAGGAGTCTCAAATGTCTCGCAAATGTCAAGGAACATTTTTCCCACGGGTGTCGAACCCTGTTTTTCATCACAATGTGTGGAAAGTGGGATCTCACTTGTGAGTTCCGTAATTTTTACTGAACATTTCTCTCCGTGCACTCATATTTTACCTCGCGGTGCGTGCGTACAATTTCACTTTACGCACAAGTGAGGAAAATGTTATTTTCTCTCTAAATTCTAATTCTCTTAGAATTCTTTAATGCCTAAAGGAGGTTAGGCGGTGTTTGAGGTGAATTTGAGAGTGAATTTCTGTGGTTCCCGGTAGCTTAGTCGGTAAGAGTGCCCGGCGCGTATCTGGGAGACCCGGGTTCGATTCCCGGCTGGGTGAAGCGGAAATTTTTTCTCTCTAAATTCTAATTCTCTTAGAATTCTTTNCTACCAATTTAAAGTCTTGATCATCATCGCACTATACCCTAACCGGATCGAAGTGATGTAAAATAACGATAAAAAAAAAAGACTGAGTTTTTATGACTGCAGATGAAAACTGTCAGTGACAATGCTAAGTCAATTTTACTGAACGAATTAAGTCATGTGACAGAAATTATCATGTTTGCATCTCTCATCTGACAGTCACATGACGTAGGCATCACAAAAGTTAAATGCGTGCACAACTCTGATATTGGCTTTGAATAATCATCCTCAGTGGGATATTCAAAACCTCCGACCAAAGTTATTGGTGGATTGAACGCCTCGCCCCAGGAGTTTCCGTACCAGGTATCGCTGCAGAAGCGGGGTTTTCACTTCTGCGGTGGAAGTATCATCACACATAGTCATATCCTGACTGCTGCTCACTGCCTTTATACCCCTGATGAATACGAGCCCCTTCGCCCTGAAGCAATTGAAGTTGTCACGGCTGTTACAGACACCAGACACCATATTCCTGGCTATGTCCATGGAGTTGTCGCATGGGATCATCCCCCGGAGTACACTCCTAAGGGAACTGTATGTGATGTCGCGGTTTTGAGGGTGCGAATGGAACATAATTTTTCTCCTATCGGTTGATTAAAGGGAGACTGCTGTGAATTTTAAAAGTCGTGGGTTATTGGAGTGAGACTTTTATCATGCGTTGAAGATCGATTATGTAGATCTGAAAACGAATAATTAGTGCAAAAAATTTTTTTTTCTATTGTTCGTTTGCCCGAAAACGCTTTAAATGCCAAAAACATTCCAGGGCCTCCAATCTTTGAGCTACGAATGATTTTTTTTTCAAAATTTCCGGAAAAATATCTGGAATAACAATTGCGGGCAATTTTTTTTTAATTCACCTCTTACATGGCTAAATTTACTTTTTTTGTATTTTTTACACAAATAGTGAATTTTTTTGTATGAAAAAAAAACGAAATCAGCTGTGTAGGAGTCGAATTCCAAAAAACTGGCTCGTAATTGTTGTTCCACACATTTTTCCGAAAATTTTGAAGAAAAAAAATTTTTTGTAGCTCAAAAATTGGAGGCGCTGGACTGTTTTTAGCATTTTAAACGTTTTCGGACAAACGAACAATAAAAAAAAATTTGTTTTACGCTAATTAGTCGTTTTCAGATCTATATAATCGATCTTCAATGTATGAAAAGTTTCACTCCAATAGCCCACGACTTTTAAAACTCATAGTAGTCTCCCCTTAAAGTGATATGAATTAACTCAAGTTGAATTGTTGAGTGCAACGCGGAAAAATGAATTCAAAAAGCCAAAAAAATTATTCATCATTGATAATTTTTTCCATAAATTCTAACGTTCATGAGTGTGAGAAATTGATCAATCAACTTCATTCTCCAATTATTTTTTGAAACAATAGTTAATTCCTTAAGACATTTTAGAACGTTTCATTTATTTATCCAATTTTTCGAGATTTTTCTAGATTTGAATTTTCTCTAAATTAATTATTATCAGTAATACTATTCATATTAACTTTCATTTTGAATTTATTTCCGATTTTGATCTTCACAATTCAAGTTATGTTTATACTACTTCAAAAAAAAAATTCAGATATGTGATTAATGTAAATGCACTTCATAGTTGCAAACAAGAATGTTCTTCAACGAATGGCGGCTGCCGATCAATCTAACAAGCGCTTACACACTTCCCGGTGAATCGGTCACAGCCACTGGCTGGGGGGTAGCTAAATGGCAGGGAAACAAGAGCAAAGGTGTGAGATTATTGCAAAAACTCGAAATGTTTATTGTCGATTTGGAAGAATGCACAAAACTTCATCAGCCCGTAGAAGTCAATGAGGGCAACATCTGTGCCATAGGCAGGACAGGAACAGCAGTGTGCAAGGTGGAGTCTTTAATTTTGCCTTTCATTAACTTTATTAAAAAATTTTGTAATAACAAATGGCTAATGTCAATTAATTCCCAACAATGTATCATTTTATTTCAGGGAGACAGCGGTGGTCCTTTAGTTCACGACGGCGAACTAGTCGGTGTAGTGTCATGGGGCGTGCCATGTGCTCAAGGCCTTCCCGATGTTTTCACAAGTGTCGCCTATTATCTTCCATGGATCGAGTCAGTCTTGTAATATTAATGGCAGACCTGATGTATTATGTCCTGTCGAGCACGATCATTCGAAATTACGATTAAACAATTTTTCTTGAACACGTGTCGTTCTTTTACTAATGACGAGTTTTTGGATTTTTTTTCGTTTTTTTTTCATTCTCAGATAGCCGATTAGACTTTTTATGGTCCCATCCCCCTCCCCCAGTAGGGATTGAGGTGTTGTCGGGAAGTTTAATCAATCCACTACTAAACAATAATAGTTGTCTTAATTGTCGTTTATTCAATGCCGTCTAGAAATATATATATACAAATGTAGAGAGCAAGTCAGGTGGTCGACTTGTAGAGTAATAGGTGGTTAGCGCCAGACTGAATATAATATTCGCAAAAGACGAGAATTCGGATAGGCGTTACAATAGGTGCGAGATAGCCCGGTGGCCTGGCGTAGTGGTTAAGGCCGTTGCCTCACAACGGATAGGTTCCAGGTTCGATTCCTGGCCGGGGAGAATGGTGAGATCTAACCATTTTTAAAGTCTTGATCAATCGCCATATAGTCTCATCAGACTCGAAGCGATATAAAATAAGCATAAAAAAAAAAAAAAAAATAGGTGCGAGTTAGAAGTATACATTCTATTGGCACGTGACAGAGAGCGATGATGTCACTGATGTCCAGTGGTCTCAACTACGCACGCGTCGTGTTAATGCGTAAATGTGTATGTAATGAGGCGCTACACCCCCCCCCCCCCC